CCCCCCCATGGTCAGGCCACAGATTTTGGGGAGGGCAGGGCAGAGCGGGTGGTTTCGTCCCGGCGCTGATAACCGGGTGCTCCCCGTCACCCCGAGAGAAGCTGCCCCGGCAGAGGGGAGTCTGCCCAGCGCGGTCCCCGTGGCTTCACCTAAGGAGAGGTTTTCTAAACGTTTGCTAAAAGCAGAGACTTCCAGAGGGTTGTTTTTTCCCCGCAGGAAGGAGGTTTCAGTGCCCCAGGAGGGCAGGGATGATTCCCCCTGCTCCTTTTCCCCCCACCTCCGAAACAGAGGAGAGCGATGCAAGCACTGCAGCGAGTCAGGCAGCTGCGCCCTCTTTCACAGCGACACCGAGGGCGGTGGCCGCCGGGCCCCAGCGCCGCGCACAGAGCCGCAAACGGCCGCTTTGGTGTCCCCTCCCAACTTCTTGGGCACCCTCAGCCCACTTGCTCGGGGGGGGGGAGGTGGGAGCAGCAGAGAAGGCCTTGACTCTGTGTGATCACCGCTCAGCAGTAACTAAAACATCCCTGTGTTGTCAGCACGTTCCAACTGGATGCCTACAGTTACAAAGTTGTGCTCCTGCAGCTTTTAGGTCTGTGTACGGCGGTGTTTAAAAACCAAGAGGTTACATTTATGGTCCTCTGTAGGACATGAAAGGCTTTGAGAAGAGGAAAGACACTTCTGTAATGAAAAGCATAACGCCTGAACAGTTAAAGTGTTCCTCTGTTTAATGTCTGAACTGACGGGCGCGTGTAAAATTCAGAATGGCTTGAATTTTGAACAAGGAAAATACAGGGAAAATTACAACACCACAACATTTGCGCCTCTTCGCGCCCAAAGAGGAACCACGACAGACAAGAAGGTTTTGAACCAGGCCCCGGGGCTTCCTCCCGTGTGCTGGGAGAAGCACCGAGGGCACGAGGCAGCGAGAGGCCGTCAGGAATTTAATGGTACTTGGCACGTGACACTGTACACCACATTTACAGAGAGCCACCCGGCTGTGTCTATGTACACCCGCTTCCCGATTCCAGCGTTACTGGCCAAAGCTGGGACAGGCACCAACCCCTTTACGTGCGAGTAACGCTCGAGGACGGGGGTTGCTGCCCTCGCCCCGCCGCCACCGGTCGCGCGACAGCAGTAACCGGTTGGCTTCGCTCAGAGCCGTCACTGCTTTGTTTCCCACAAGGCTTTGGGGCGCGGTTACCAAGCCGGCATCTCCCCCACGCCTCTTTGGACCGCTAGAACGTGGCAGTGCTGCCGTTACGAGGATGGACAACCCCTCCCTCTCCTCTCCTTACACCTCATCGGCTTCAAACGCTTTCTTTTCTCTACCTTTCTACCACATGCAATAACCCCTTGGTCGCCTCCAGTCCTGCCTCCCTCCGGCGGGAGGCATTTCATTTCCAAAAGGCGACAGTACCGAGAAATAAAAATCTACCTTCACTCCCTGCTACTCCCCCTCTAGCTGCTGCTCCTCTTCCCTCCCCAAACCCTTGACGACGTGCCTACAACCTTCCTACACCCCGTTAGCAATGCAGTTCTCCCTCAGCAGGGCGGAGACGTCGCTCACCGTGACGGGCGGTACGTCGAGCGTCTCCTCCCGGCCACCGTCTCGCCTGCGCTCCGCAGGACTGTGGAGTGACGTGAGAAACAGCGTGGACGCGCGCAGCTCGGAGCAAGAAGGATCAAGTACTTGAAAGGAAATGCCAAGTCTGAACGATAACAACAACAAAATACAAAAGTAAAAAAAAAAAAAAAAACCAAACAAAACAACCCAAAGAAAAACAAAAACAAAAAACCCCCAAACTTGAAACGAAAAAACTAATAAAAAAAATTAAATATCTGGCAGGTTACGAGAGTGAAAATGAGGAATGTACAAAGGACACACGAAGATGAAAGATTCCAGTAGGTAAATTGAGAACCTGTTGAACCTGGAGTCTGGTTTGGTTTGGTTTTTCCTCCTTTTTTAGCACGAAAAGCTGCACGATGGATGATGATAACCATCGGCCGCTGTGCAAGACAAGAAGGAAACGGGATTTCAGGGTTCGAGGCGACTTTCAACGGTCTCTCGCAGCGCTGAGGCAACCCCCTCCGCCAAGGGAGGCGCTGCCAGGCTGGCGGTGACGGCCCAAACCTCCGCTTGAGCCCGTTTCCCAGCCTCAAACACGGCGCGTGGAAACCTTTCCGAAACCAAAGCTCTTCAAATTTGGGGAGTCAAAAGCACGAGGGCTTCCGAATCACCCGCAGCTTTAAAACCGGGTTCAGAGTGGCCACGTTTGTAAAACCAGACTCCAGTTCAACAGTGGTAACTGCATACCAGTAGCTGCCATTACAACATAAAACAACCCCCAAAAATATCCTGTTCAGTAGAGTGACTCCAACCATGCTCAAGAAAAATGTACACGTTATTTATAAATAAACAATCTTCCGCCAGGACGTTGCTGGGCTCCTCGTTACACCAGAGTTTCTTTCCGCTTGCCGCTGAGCTGCTTCTCCCTCGTTTTCCTGTGCCCAGACGACGTTCTGTGGGTTTTCAGGCCTTTGCCTTCCTCCGAGTCCAGGATGGAGCCGCACTCGGCCGTGCTTTCGTCGAGCTCCATCTCGGCGAGGCCAGACTGCCTCTTCTGGGCTCTGGTGTTGGGCGCGGAGGGGTTGTTCTCCTCCGCCTCTTCGCTCAGCTCCGGCAGCTCCTTCAGCTCCGCGGCGGCAGGAGTCCGCTGGAAGGGAGCGACGGCGGTTCGGATGCAGTTCACCCACTGCTGCTTGTGGAAGACGTCGTTGGCCTGCAGCGTGTGGGACTGGCCCGGGGAGGGATCTTGGAAACGAACTCGGAAGATGTTTTTAGCTGAAGAGAAACATAGGAAAAAGCAGATCAGTTCCTAGCTCAATATTTAGAGGGAGTGACCTGGCCTGCCCTGCTCTGCTTCAGGGAAAGCGTTCAAAATGCCCCCAAACCCCCCCAAAGCCCAGCAGAGACACGTTGAAATGGAGGTTCTCCTCATCTGAGCACCGGCTGCAAAGCACCACGTGTAAGTTCAAGGCCACCAAATCCAGAAGAGCGAAGCCCCGCAGGGACAGTCTAAAGGTTAACACACGGCACGTGCCCGCTGTCCTACAGGAACCTCAGGATCCGTGCCCAGGTGTAATCTCTCCTCACCAACAGGTGAACCGGTTTGATCTGTACCTTTATCGGAATTGCCAAACGCCCCTCGGAAGGATCCTCCCATTTTCACATCGCCATCCTGCAGGTCTTCAAGGAGCAGCTCCTGGACAGGGATGGGCTGCCTGTACACTTGGTAGGCCTGACGCTCGTTGCGAGTGACCGGCCGGGTCAAAACCAGGATGTCTTGGAAGAGGAAGACGTAGAGTTTCTGCAGGGGAAAACATGTCTGAGTACGAGGAAAGCATTGCACTCCGTATCCAAAGGGGTCGCGCATCCCCCGGGATTCGAGGCCACGTTATCTGGAGTTTCATCCTCGTTAATTTTCCGACAAGTTTCCCGTTACGGCAACGCAGGGCCCCGGCAGCGGTGGCACAAACCACACTTGTATCAGCAGGTTTATTATTTCAATGACGCCTAAAGAGTGACTTATGATTTGCAGATGCCAAGAACAGGATGATTAGAAGCAATATTTTTTTCTGACCGTACAAAATGCTTCGTGTGTACAGAAGCGTAATGGACGAAATAAACAAAACCCCCTCAACCAACCCCCAAGAAAAAATACAGAAAAAAAGATTTGATGTTTAAAAAAAAAAAAAACAACCGAGGTTGCTCCTGCAAGGCAGAACAAAAGGCAGCAAACCCTCGAGTACAGCAGGGTCTTTCAGCGCTGCTGCAGTGGGAGACAAACTTCTGGCAGTTCAGCTCAAAGCCAAACAGGCTTTCGCAGGAACACTTTTGTTTGGAAGAGCCGCGCGCCAGCGCTCACAATGGAGAATGTCAGAGCACCTGAAAGTAAACAGCCGGCAGGAAATCCCTTCTGATGGAGTGCCTGGGCACAGAGCACACTTTCTATGGTAATTTGGGGCTAATTATTTTGCAGCTACTGAAGGCCAATTGTAAAGCTGTCAGCTTTCTTTCCCTTACACCCTGAAATGCAGACCGCCATCAGGTGCTTTCTCTTCTGCTTTTTAAACGTAGCTAATTGTCTAAGCTAACCCCAAGGATGGAAGGGCTCCTGGTCCTGCTGGAACAAACAGCTTTAACTACCTCTGAGGGAAGGTTTTCAAACTCGAGCATTAATTACCACGAACACGAGGGACTTACATGTCCATTTTTATTCTTCAGCTCCCCATGGCACAGTAAAGCTTTGCTGCCTTCAATCCTCGGATCCTTCTGCTTCTCATCCAGGTACTCCAGCTTGTCAATGTAATACTGGCACTCCGACTCCCCCTTCTTCAGGTTGATGTCAGAGAGGACTCCTTGGATTATAGATATCTAGAAAGCAAAACATTGAGAGATCATTAAAGAAGGACCTCTGCTTGTGCATCTTCCCTTTAAAAACTCCGGAGGATGGAATCCACGTGGACTGAGCTCTCGCTTGCTTTCACAAAGGGTTTCACAGATTTGCGTCCACCGAAAAAGCCACCCCACGAAACTGCTTGAGGGTTTAAGAAAGCTCTCCAGAGCTCCACGATGCCAGGCTTATGTCAGAACAACAACTGCGAAGTCTTTATTACTTACGGCTTCTTCCAGAATCTGGGTATCGGGATGGTCTTTGGGAGTGTGCCTCAGGATCTCCTTCAGGAGCAGCGGGTATTTGACCAGCCGGCTTCGAGGAATGTCCAAGAAGCTCCACAGGTCGAGCTTGCGGCTGAAAGGAGACTCCAGGCAGCGCTGAAGGAAGTCCTGCACCCTCCGGTCCTGCTTCTTCTGATCCAGAAGGGCTTTGGCCGCCAGCTGGTTGCTACAGTAACCCTTGTAGGCGTGGAGTCGCGGTAACTGCAGGAGAACGGGATGATATTCAGGAGTCAAATTCCACGTAGGAAAAGCAAATCACATTAACACGTCAAACTCGGGAAGTTCTCCTTCCCTTACTGCGATACTTTGCCCAATAAAAAAAGCTAACAGACTGTCTTGTATATGTAGAGAGTCTTTTGTGAGGAGAACAAGGGCATCCTGCTGCGATGCCTTTGAAGTTCCGATGTTTGAGATTAACGGCGATAACGCTGTTGAAATCACATTAGCGACAAACAGTCCAGAAGACACAGACGTTTCAAACATAAATCACCAAGTAATTGCAGTCACCCCAGTGTAAGTCTCCAGGGTGAAATCGTGGCCCATTAGGGCTGACAGAGTCCCATTGTTTCCACCGTGGCCAGGATTTCCGTTTCAATCTTTCGCTCAAGGCCACAAAAGCCCACAGCTTTTCGGCTTCTAGCTTTAAACGGTCTTTAAGCCCTTTTTCAGCCTGCCGTCTCCAAGTTATGTACTCACCCACTTCACAAGAATGGGCCCAATCTGCTCCACTGTTCCATCTGGTTTTGTTGCTTCTCCTAAACTTGCCAGCAAGTCTGGAATCGAAACACAGAAATAGAAACTGCGACGATGCCCCAGTAAGCTGTTCTAACATCAGAAAGCAGAGAGTTTAACTCTTGGTCAGCACGTCACGTGAAAATGATGCAGTTGCTCTTACCTTCATGCAGAGGGATATAAGAATCCAAGTCCCCAAATATGTGGGTGAGCTCCTCCTCAGACATGATGGAGAGTTTCAGCATGGGATCATGGTAGGCCTGTCAAAGAACGCTGGTATTAAAATACACTCCAATCTCCCAAGGCCAAAAGCTGCCAATTTAAATACGAGGGGATGCACCACGTGCAGGACAGACATGAAGTGAAGCCAACAGAAACAGTAACCTCGACCTTGATGGCTGAAAGATTCGCCTCTCTATGAAGGTATCAAG